CATTTTAAACATTTCAGTAGAGTAATTTCTCTAATGTATTTCGAATTTTTTATTAATTTTTAGAGATAACCTTTCCTGTGTGAGCTAAGGGTGAATACTTAATGTTAGGGAATTCGGAACTCTAATTAGGGCAATTAGGCTTTTTTGCTGAACTGATATTAGCACTTAGTGTTGATGTTAAAGTTGTTGCTCATTTCAAATGGATAAATTTTAAATGTCAGAATTTCGAAAATTTTAAATATAAATTTATGTAGTCGTTGCAGTTAACAGCGTGGAACTCACCCACACAGGCAGTATCGTTGATATTCTTGTATCCCCTCTCACAAAGACATCGATAGGAACCCAGATAATTTTCACAATACATATTCGAACCGCATTTTGCCTCACCGCTCACACATTCGTTGATGTCTGAAATTAATTAAGCATAATTTTATTGAGGAATGATTTAAGCAGTGAAATAGGCAGAAATTTGACATTCTTCGATTTTCAGAAACTTAAATTATGCCACTATGTCTGTTTCCGGCCTTCCTGAAAGCTCTCATGACATTTTTTTAAAGATGGAATTTTGATGGTCTTATAACACAACTAAGAATCTTCTTCGAAACTATTCGATGCAACGTTCTTCGGTTTCAAGGTGATATTCATCTTTAACAATGTGCTATACAAGGCTACAACTATGGCAACTTTGGGGTGCGCGATAGACTTACCCCCCACGTGGTGCACCCTGGGCAACGTATATTCATACGGCACAAAAGTCTATTAACTGGCAGTTGACTTCTCACTTCAAACTACCATCACCCCACTGTATGTCATATTCGACCCCTTCCACAGTAATCATCTTACCTTTTCTCTGCCTTTTTGTCTGCCTGACTCTTTCACATCTTTTAATCAATATTCTGTCCTTCCTCTCGACTTTTTGTCACTCTGATGTTCTTCCTACCCTCTGTGAAGCCCAAAGTCAGCTAAAGGGCTAATGATAACAATGCTCCTACCCTCTGTGAAGCCCAAAGTCAGCTAAAGGGCTAATGATAACTTTTAAAACGCCTGCCTTTTGAGATAAATAAATAAGTAAATACTATGGCAACTTAAATTATATGCATGGAAATAATAACTAGGTGAAACGTTGGAGTTCACTTTGTTTCTGTGTGTTTCGTAATGTCTAAAGCAACAGCGAATCGATTCCAAATAAATGGTTTGAATAAAGGTGAGTCATTAAACAGAGGTCAAATTTTTAAACCGCTTGAAGTATTAGCCTCGAGAAGAGAGTTGAAGAAATGACAATTCATTTTGACTTTCCATGAAATAACACGTTCAAACTGCTTCGAATTCCGTGAACACGGAGATATTATCGTCATATCAAACTGATGAGATGTGCCACGATGAAATGTACGGAGAGCATTCAAATCAGTTGTCATGTCATTTTTTCTAGCATTATTTCATCAAACTTAATCACACTTTTGCCAGCCGGAAAGAATATTCGAATAAGCTGTTAGTAGTATGACCATCTAACTGATGAGACCTTTTTTATATTCCAATTTTTAATACTTTAAAAAAATATGAGGCATTGATAAACAATCCCCATTTCATCGCTAGTCAAATTTTTGTACCATTGTTTGCCATTGATAATATAATATCTAGAAGTAAAATAGCAATATGCAGAAGTATTACTAATTTACTATAATCTAATAAGAGTACTATATCACGCTCACTTTAACAGAGAGAGGGGGTGTGCGATAGACTTACCTCCACGTGGTGCACCCTGGGGAACGTATACTCATACGGCAAAAAAGTCTATTAACTGGCAGTTGACTTCTCACTTCAAACTACCCTCACCCCATTGTATGTCATATTCGACTACTTCCACAGTACTCACCTCACCTTTTTCTACCTTCGTCTTTGAAGCACTCTTCTGTTCCCCCCCCCCCCCCTCTCGACTTTTTTTCCCACTTTGATGTTCCTTCCCCTATGTGAAGACTGAAGTCAACTGAATGGCTAATGATAACCATCAAGACGCCTGCCATTTGATATAAAATAAATAAATAAATAAATTAACAGAGAGAGAGAGGAAACGGAATAACCAATTGGATATTGCCATGCCTTTTGATGTGTGCTCTGCAACACTTAAATTTTCACTTCCTCAAATTTTATTAGAGACGGCAACAGTCTAGACGACTTTAATGTCTTCTCGACTAATGGCAAGACCATCATAAGCACTTTTACTCATAGGCTTCAGGTAATAAGCCTCACTTTTCAATTTCAAAACAGCAATTACAATTAAAAAGAAGACACTTGATCATGTGTGTACAAATTTAAATTAAATCGTGATAATCTTTTTAACAATATATTATTATTTTCGAAAATTAAGATGAACCCGAGAGACCATAACACAAAGTTGACCCACATGAAATGAAGTTTTAGGAGTATAAATTCAAATAATATGATGTGTACAAATAGGGGAATTTTCGTCCTAAATTTGATTAATTTCTAATATATATTATGGTTAAAATGTTCACGAAAATATCCTAGACACTGTAAATGCCTTTTCGAAACGATCTTGTGGGACGCGTTATTGCTTTGTGCGTCATCGTGTGCCTACATGATAGGATTGGGAGGTGCGCCGTACAACTCTGTGTGCAGCGACCGTACAAGCAGTGGCCAATCAGTAGCCTCCGTTTGCTTAACCTAATCCGCCATCCTGATCATGAGTAGCTCCCCGCGTGTTCACTTTATCCGCAATTTACTCACCGAATAAACGTGCTCCGTGCCACAAGTCTGTTTCCCTTAAAGCTGGGCTATAGCTTAGGTGGTTCTGGGAGTCTAGTTAGATGTTGGAGAAACTGCCATAGAGATTTCTGAGTTAGTCAGGCTTTACTAGCGTGGCAATCCGCTACAATCTTTATTTAAGAGCGGGGTGTGCGTTAGACTAACCTCCACGTGGTTCACCTGGGCAACGTATACCCATATGACAAAAAAGTCTATGAACCGGCAGTTGACTTCTCACTTCAAACAACCATGACCCCACTGTATGTCATATCCGACCACTTCCCCAGTACTCATCCTACCTTCTCTCTACCTTTCTGTCTGTCTATTTTACATCTGTGAATCACTCTTCTTTTCCCCCTCTCCACTTTTTTTCACTTTGATGTTCCTTCTCCCCTCTGTGAAGCCCGAAGTCAGCTAAAGAGCTAATGATAACTAAGTGAAGCCCGAAGTCAGCTAAAGAGCTAATGATAACTATCCAAACACCTGCCATTTGATATAATAAAATAAATATTTTAAGTTTTTCACTTCTTATTACCAGTGCAAGAGGCCTTGGGGGTCACTCGATGGAAGCCTTTGGGACAATCAGTAAGGGTCACGCATCTGAATGCGCCAACTGTGTTGACGCAGACTTGATGTGCTCCACAAAGCGGATTCTGCGGATCTCCGTGTTTCTCCTCCTCTGCGCACTCGTCAATATCTGCGTAAAAGATAGAGAGAGAGATAGAGATAAAGAACTGCAGTCACCTTTTCTTCTATGTCAAAAGTACACACACACGCACACGCACGCACGCACGCACACACACTTTTAAAACCCGAAATATCCTGACTTCATTCACGAACTAAAGCCGTCTACTTTAATATACGAATTACTGGCCTTTTTTGCGAATTGAAAAATCTGAAAAGTACATTTTAAAATTCTTATTTAATTATTGTGCTTAAAAGAAGAGGACACGTCAATTGTTGCAAATCTGATTCCTGACAGAGTTGTTGTTGTTACTTTTCTAAAATAGTAATTAATTAATTAATTAATTTTATAGCATGCTGCTTGGCTACTCGAATACGCCATTCGTTTTGTCCCCTGTTGCAGTCATTGAGCACTTCGTTCACCTTTGAAGCATTGGAAAGTGGCCAATGGCCTTGCAAACTTGAGTGTATGCATGCATACTGTACGGGAACATACTGCTGAGTGCAGAAAACTATTCGCGACCATTTTCTAACCAATGATCATGTGAAAGTAAAAAAAGTGCGTCACACCATCACTTAAGTATTCGAACTTGGTAGCAATCAAATTGGTGTGAATGAATCGCGATGATGTAAGTAAACTTCCTTGAAAGAGGGGTGTTCAATAGACCTACCTCCATGTGGTGCACCATGGGCAACGTATACTCATGCGGCAAAAAAGTCCATTAACTGGCAGTTGACTTCTCACTTCAAACTAAAATCACCCCAACTGTATGTCATATTTTACCACTTGCACAGTACTCATCTTACCTATTCTCTGCCTTTTTGTCTGTTTTCTGAAGGGCTAATGATAACTTTCATAACGCCTGCCATTTGACATAAATAAAATTTCTTGAAAGTAACCAGCATTTACTACAATTTTCACCCTTGAAAGTTGGGCTTCCCTTGAGTTCTCTCAAAACATGAACGAATAAATTTTTAGCTCCAAGTGGTGGGGTAGATTTCATGATTTCCAGACTAAAATCACATAAACTTAAAAAAATGTCCATTCAGTAGAGTTACCTCCACTCACTCCCCCCCTCCCCCCTCCCCCCACACCTCTGTTGCTACATTTTATTCATTATGATGCCTTCAAAATGGTGGACTATTCAAATTACCTCCAATGCTTTAACTTTACTTAAATAAACTTTTCGTTTAAGTTAAGTGAAAAACGATATTTCTTCTCACCGACGCATGTATTCCCAAGGTGCTGAAATCCTGATGGACAGACACATTTCTCCAGCGAATAGTCATACCTGAAAATAAAAATAAACATAATTATTTTAAAGATGTATTAGGCGGAGACTTTTGTCGCTTAACGTCTTGTAACGTCTGTGCGGTAGACTTACCTCCACGTGGTGAAGCCTGGGCAACGTGTTCTCATATGGCAAACAAGGGTATTAACCGACAGTTGACTTCTAACTTCAAACTACCACGACCCCACTGTATGTCATATTCGACTACTTCCCCAGTACTCACCTCACTTTTTCCCACCTTTGTGTCTGTCTCTTTTACAATTTGAAACATTCTTCTGTTCCCCCCATCTCGACTATTTTTGCTTTGATGTTCCTCTCCCTCTGTGAAGCCTGAAGTCAACTAAAGGGCTAATGATAACTATTAGAACACCTGCCATTTGAAATAAATAAATAGATAAATAAATGAATAACCTTGACTAACAAATATCGATCTGACTGCAAATATGCATATCCTATTGAAATAACTGGAAGCGTTTAGTTAATTAAAGTAGACTCTATAATTTAGAAACAAAAGATGATTTCGATCTATTCAACCGGAAGATCCCATTAAGCCATTCACAGCTCGAGGGTTCGAGAATGTAGTGTTTATGTTGTTAATGCTTAACTTATGACGTTTGGATTAGAGTTGCACCGTATAATTGCTCTCAACATCACGGGTTTTTATTCCTTTGTGTCCTTGTAATGTCATGCATCACAAACCAATCCTTATTTATCTACCGATGAGATGAATTTTGACCCCCGAATTTTGCCAAGTTCGAGAGATTTTGCTGTGCCAGTTAAGAGTTATTTGTGAGTAATTCAACCTCTCGTGCCAAGAACCTAACTTCACCTCTGTGATAAATTTATACCGCTTTTCCTTTTATTATGATGCACCGTATGCGTCTATCTCTAGCTACCTGTCATTCCAGCAATATTAAATGTTGTATATTGCTTTAAACAACTTCCTTTTTTGAGTAGACTACATCTAGCTCTCTACCTGGACGCACACCTCGATGTCTAGCGAACATGGCAAGGGGCCAGTGCGTCATGTTTTATAATAAATATGTTAGCTAGATTTAACAATTTTTCATTTTCAACTGTCAATTAATAAAAAAAATGATTGCAACAATTGAATAATTAGAGAAAATTAATTAAGTACTAGGAGTCCTTTAGCTAAGGGGTGCGAAATCTGTTAAAATAAATAAAAAGTATTCAGTAATAAATAAGTAATTAAATGTCATTAAGTAGGTGGCGTTCTTGAGTGTTTACCCAAATTAGATGAAAACAATAAACAATCTACACAAAGAGGTGCAATTCGAAGGCACATTTTACTTAACCAAATCTTTAAAAATTAACTGAATTTGTTAATTTACCCCTTTGTGTGTGTGTACGCGCGCAATGTTACCACCTGTGGTATTTTAAATTCTATTCCAAAAGGAAAATACTCCATTAATTAGGATAAGAAAAAAGAATCATGTCATTGGAATTTAACTTCAATGAACTTCACCAAGGTTTGCTATGTTTTGAGCTTATTTAATTTGCCTGCTCATACAGACGTTGGAAGATACAAACGAAATTGAGAAGCCATTCCTCTAAATCCAATCAATACTCTCATTAACATGTTACAATGGTGTTGATAATCTTTCTAAACGTTTGGGCAACTTAACCCCCCCCCCCCCCCCCACTCTAGCACTTCGAAACAGGTATGAATCCTAACCACCTGGATCCACTTTCATGCTTTCAACTCATTTCATTTTAAAATTTCGTGCATTCGAGGGCTATCATTTGTTTAGAAACGTAAAAGAAGTTGCATATATTATCATGAAGTGGAAGTGATGGAATAAAAAGACATTGATGCTGCTATTCATGGACGGGTTGTATTTGAAGGCCGATTGCATACCTTTCAGTGTAATGACATGGCGATTTCTCACATTTATACGCACCCGGTGTATTGACGCAAATTTGACCGTGTTGGCAGTTGAAGGCCCTGATCTTGCATTCATCAATATCTACAATTTAATTAATTAATCCATTTTTAATATTAAAAAAAGTTTCATCCAATATAATGCTCCAGAAATGTCTAATTATTGAGAAATCAATTACGAATTATTCGATTCAATTTGAATAACCCCCCCCCCCCCAGGTAAGTTTTGCCAAAATTTCAAGACACGTGATTGGCTAAATTCTCTTAGCTTTTACAAACTAACAGTACCGTAATTTTAGATATTGGTGGGACAATAACTCTGTGCTTGAAATTTGAGTCAATTCGGGAGAGTGAATGAATTTGAAGTGTAAAGTCATGAAACTTTCAAAGAATCCTAATTCTATGAAAGTTTAACTAAAAGCTGCAACAAACTTCATGCATCTGGTCTTGAATGTTAATCCCCAATTTATCTATTTATATCACATGGCAGGTTCTATGATAGTTATCATTAGTCCATTACTTGAATTCTGGCTTCACAGAGGAGTGGAACATCAACGCCACAAAAGTCGAAAGGAGGACCAGAAGAATGACTCACAGACGTGAAAGACAGCCACACACAGAGGTGGAGAAAAAGGTGAGGTGAGTACTGTGGAAGTGGTGGAATAGGACATACAGTGGAGTCATGGTAGTTTGAAGTCAAAAGTCAACTGCCGGTTTATGGGCATTTTTTGTCGTATGGGACTACGTTGCCCAAGTTGCAGCACGTGGAAGTAAGTCTAAGGCGCACCACACCCACCCCCCATTCAATGCTGGCAAATTACTTTTGCTAATAAGTTGCATAGAGAAAACGAACCTAAGAAGCACAACCACAATTTTCTAGAAAAAAACCTGTCTAGACTGAAGGCACCATTATCATCTGCTCAGGGGAAATTGCATCGAAAGCACTACACACCAACCTATCCAAATTGTCTATAAGGCATAGATTATCTTAAGCCGTGAAAAATCTTTTAAAGTAAATATTTCTCATGTACCTAGTACATACATTATTGGCCATGTTTGTTATATTTCGGGGGTGGTAATGGAATTAAATTGGTATCTAAGTTAAAACTGATGTTTTATTAGACTGAATTAGAAAAAAGAAATCTTGAAATGATTAAATTGTTGGAAGACAATTTTAATTTTATTGAATTCCACTTTAATGCAAATAACAATGGAAGAAGTTAGATTTTCAATTACTATTTATCTTTAAAATTAGCTTCTAAATTAAAATCACTTGAAAAGATGTGACTTTTACTAAAAGCCTAGAGGCATTAATTTGACAAGAAAAAATAGAATGCATTTCAAATGACGTCTTACCAATAGCGAAAAAGTTTGAAAATAATTTCAGGCCCAAATATATTTGTAATGGGATTAAGTAAAGTGGAAAATTAAGCAGAATGTTGAGAGTATGAAGGACAAAGTAGTTTTATTCCCAACTTATGCTCAAGTCGAAAACGTTTGAACTTTATAAAATCTTGAATTTATGAAACAAATAGAATTAGCTTTTTCATTGAACAATCTTTTCTTTTAGTTTTCGAGGAAAGTTTTACATAACCTAATAACCTGCAGACTAGGAAACAAAGTAAAATATATTATTATGAGGCATTTTCGGTGAGAATTGTGTTGTTTATTTGAGGTGCTTTACTGCAGTCAGCCAGCACTTTATTGGCAAACAGAAAGCTGCCTCTTTTTGTGTCCAAAATTCTTATGAGTAGTAATATCGCTGACACGTCTGTTGATTTCCAGGGTGTAAGATTAATTAATTAATTATATTATATTATTAAGACTTTCCGTTGGGGGGGGGGAGGAGCAATCGAGTTTTTATATTAAAAGAACCTACCATCACAGGCGGTTCCATTGGAATTCAGCTGGTATCCCCACTCGCATCTTAATTTGGGTTCGCAGACATAGTCACCAGGTCGATTGGTGCATTTCTCAAAAGGCCGGCAGAGAGTGGAATTCATTTCACACTCGTTGATGTCTATGCTTGGGATAGAATTGAAGAAATGACCAATAGGCGTTTAAAGCAAATGACCACACATACATATATATACACATATATACATATCTTTATTTTAGATAACGTGTAAATTATGCATAATATTGGGCTTTCATTATTTGAAAATGTCCTTAATAAGTTTATATATATATATATATATATATCTATATATAAAATGTCTCGGCTTAAACGGTATTAACAAAATTCTGCCCTTTGATTATTTATTTTAAAGAAATTATTAGGCTACATCTCAACCAAACTACAACGAGTTCTGCTGTTTTAAGATGTTATTACTAAACTCATCTTCATCCCTCGTTTGTGAAGATGAAGACTGACTTTTGGACAAAACCAGCGGACGAATCACCGTTCAGTAATTTGGAGATGATGTCACTCATAGAATTGTGAGGTAGGTCATAAAGACTCGACCTATTGAGAGCATTACGGGGAAGTCAAATCACTTACATGGCTCTCATCAATATTCCAATGTTCCATTCGTTAAGTTTCTCGCCGGTGAGTAAAGTGTGTTGAAGTTAATTTGTATCGCCATAGTTGCCAGTATCAGTGTAGTCTGTTCCAAATGCTATTTTTTATGCTTCATTATTCGAATTAACTTAAATGACCCCATGACCTCAGGTTCGTGCAAAAGTACATATGGGATGAGAATCTACCTTCACAGCTATTTCTCTCTTCATTGAATATGTAGCCGTTGGGACAGGGTGTGCACTCGCCGTTTGAATTTCGTCTAAAATGTTAAAAGAATTAAATTCAAAGTGCAAAAGATACTAAATTTTATGACCATTCAATTTAATTACATCAGGTGCATTTTATTAATGTCAAACTTTAATTATGTGATGTTTATTTTTTTAACGCATAGAACTGAAATAAATATTAGCACTTTAAGTAAAGTGAATAATACTTAATAATTTAATTTATCAACATATTTCACTACATATTTTAGAAATTTTATAATCATTATTATTAATGCTATGTTTACTTATAAATATTTTTCCAAGAAATTAGAGTGCTAACACGGCAAAACATTGAGTAAATGGGGGTGTGCGAAAGACTTACCTCCACGTGGTACTCCCTGGGCAACGTATACTCATACGACAAAAAATGTCTATTAACTGGCAATTGATTTCTGACTCTAAAATACCACAACCCCACTGCATGTCATATTCGACTACTTCCAAAGTACTCAGCTCACCTTTTTTCCACGTTTGTCTGTCTCTTTTACATTTTTGAAACTCTCATCTGTTTCAACCCCCCTCCCCTTCTTCGACATTTTTCACTTTGTAGTTCCTTCCCTCTGTGAAGTCTGAAGAGATAATGATAGCTATCAAAATGACTGCCATTTGATATAAAACATTGAGTAAATATGATCAGGATAATCGACTTATTAATTTTAACACTTAGCGAAAGGGTATATTTTAAGTATTTTGTCGAGAATAGGCGAAAAAAATGTTTTTCCCAATTTTAGAGGGGAAAATTTTTTTGTCATTAAATAAAACCCACCTCAATTTTCCAGGGCACTTCTTAGGGATACATTTCATCCCACCCCGAACATTCACGCAGATCATGTTAGGTCCGCATATGTCAGGTTGGGCCTTGCATTCATCAATGTCTATTAAATAAAATGCAAAAAAATAGTATTCATTGATAATGAATGCCTTAAAATTTTAATAAAAATTTGCTTTAGTTTGGTATAATTTCGATTATTTTAATGTGTGATCTGTGGGAACGGCATCGCATGCACGTACGCCAGGATTGGGAGGTGCGGCCGTACAACTTCGTGTGCATCAACCGTACGACCAATGACCAATCAGAAGCGAATCTACCATGCTGATTATGATTAAGCTCCCCGCGTGTAAACTTTACTCACAAAATACTTCCTGAATGAACGGGTTCCGTGCCATACGTCTGTTTTCTCTATAGCTGGGCTATAGCTTAGCTAGTTCTGGGAGTCTAGGTAGATGTAGGAGAATCTGCCACAGAAATTTGAGTCAGTCAGGCTTTAATAGTGCAGCAATCCGCTACAGATCGTATACGAAGACATTGTACCTTATTGGTTTTACTGATGATAACTCATGTGCCGGATGGGCAATGGGTTAATTATACTTTCGCCCGGAGTTTTGATATGAAAAGTTTTAAACCGTAATCACTTCACGACTCGTAAATCAGATTTATGCAAAAACACACTTTATAATTTTATGAAATGTCCGGGTGCGTAATAGACTTACCTCCACGTGGTGCACCCTGGGCAACGTATACTCAAACGACAAAAAAGTCTATTTACCGGCAATTGATTTCTGATTCTAAAATACCACCACCCCACTGCATGTCGTATTCGACTACTTCCACAATATTCCACTCACCTTTTTCACTCTACATTTGTGTCTGTTTCTTTTACATCGTTGAAACACTCTTCTCTTCCCTCCCCCTCTCGACTTTTTCACTTTGATTTTCCGTCCCCTCTATGAAGCCTGAAGTCAATTAAAGGGCTAATGATAACAATCATAACGCCTGGCATTTGATATAAATAAATGAAACTCCTGTTCTGTCTCAGTTTAGTTTCGAGGCCAGGGATGGAAGCAGTTGGAAATAAACACGAGAAATCCGAATCTTTTAAAATGAGGAAAGTGGAAGCAATCTCTTAATGGTTTTGGGAACAAAACTAGAGAGGTAATATTTTCTTAAATAAATGGTTAAGAACAATATTCATTTAAAGGCCTTAACCCTAACCGACTTTTGATGGATTCTACCAACTGGAGAATGATTCCCAAATCGTTTGGCTATTTATGACTTCAATAAAATCATATCTGGAGAAGCGTTTGTTCCCACTAGCAATCTCACAGTGTAAATAAGGTGAGTTAGTGCGCCTAATTTAATTTCATAACTCATCGACAGAAAGTACCACCTCGAAGTGAATATAAATCATAGATGGGGGGGGGGGGGGGGGGGGGGAGAGGGGCGTTTGGGAAGCCGTTTGGAAGTTCAAATTGGAACAAGTTGGTCTTATGGTCTAAGTGAATAGAATGTCACTTGGATGTGAATATTTTTAATAAAATACAATTAAGAGCATTGTTTGTAATACCTGGTGGTGAATAGAGAAGTGATGTGCATTGAAATCTCTTGAAAACATTCCAGAAAACGTCCAGAAATTTTCATTTGTTCCATAATGATATGTAATGCATTTCCGTTTCACTTTCTGCTACTATGAAAGGTGAATGCACCTTCCGCCTTCACTTTCATTCACTCAAAAACATCTTTGAATACATCAATTCATCTGGAGTACTCATGCCACCCAGCGTCATAACTCTATCACATTCGAAGTGTTCTGATCTTTCTATTACTAGGTACGCAAATTTTGGTCTCACATCAACGGCTACACTTACAATTCCCTGCAGATTTCCTACTCGCAGCTTTTCCTCTGAACCTCCTCACTGTTAGAGATAAAGAAATACAGCAAGTGAACTACGTTTATTCTCTCTTCACATGCATATATCGAGGGCTGCGCAATAGACTTACCTCCATGTGGTGCGCCCTGAGCAACGTATACTCCCGCTACCGTTGTATCTGTCTGCCTCTTTTATATCTGTGAATCACTCTTCTGTTCCCCCTCTCAACTTTTGTGACCTTGATGTTTCTCCTCCTCTCCGTGAAGTCAGAAGCCAAGTGAAGAGCTAATGATAACTATCATAAGGCCTACCACTTTATGCGAATAGATATTAACATTGATTGTAACTTCAAAGTAAGAGCTTGAGAGGTAGCCATTGGACAGGATCAGGATAACTATCCGACTCCCCCTTTTATAGGTTACCTGAGATAAATTCACTTGTCTTTATAATAGGTTAAATGGGGTGTGCGATAGACCTACCTCCACGTGGTGCACCCTGAGCAACGTATACTCATACGGCAAAAAAGTCTATTAACTGGCAGTTGACTTCTCACTTCACAAAAAAGTCTATTAACCGGCAGTTGACTTCTGACTACTCAAACGGCAAAAAAGTCTATAAACCGGCAGTTGACTTCTGACTGAAAATCAAAAAGTCTATTAATCGGCAGTTGACTTCTGACTATTTCCACAGTAGCTCACCCCACTGTATGTCATATTCGACCCCTTCCACAGTACGCCACCACCCCACTGTATGTCATATTCGACCCCTACCACAGTACTAACCCCACTGAATGCCGTATTCTACCACTTTTACAGTATCCATGATCCCACTGTATGCCATATTCGACTTCTTCCATAGTACTCACTTCACCTTTTTTCTACCTTCGTCTTTGAAGCACTCTTCTGT